TGATACAGAAAATCAGGTTGAAGGATTGTACTATCCAGTTCTAAGTAAAGCTATTTTATTTGTTTAAAGTAAGGTTAAAGCTCCCCTTTCCAACATTGCAATCTATAGCAAGATGATGTAAAGATCATCTGTTTCTGTGGGCCATGGTTAACGAGGGTGTCATGTGGCCAGCACAAGGACCAACGGTCTTTAATTTCCTTCACGTTGAAGGATTGTATTTTCCAGTTAAGTAAAGCTATTTTATTTTTAAAAGTAAAGCAAAAGTTCCCTTTCCAACCTTGTGATCTATATGGAAGATAATTTATAGGTCATGTTTCTGTGGCCCATGGTTAACAAGGGTGTCATGTGGCTAGCACAAGGACCAACAGCCTTAAATTTCCCCAACTAATGTCTGGGATGCATTAGAGCTTGGCGGACTCAAAGATCCTTAAATAAAAAAGCCCAGACTTTACCAGGACTTGAAGCCAGGACCACTTTGGTTTGAAAGCCAAGCGTTTTACCGCTCAGCCACAGTGCCTCCTGTTTTATTTGCAAACTGATGTGTTATGTTTTCTACCATTTTGTACGTGTTTGTGTTACACAGGTGACTTGTTTGAGTGTGAGGCTGACCTTGACTGCCCCTCCCTTTGGCAAGAAAACAGTGAGCGGCCACATCTCCAGGAACAGAGCAGGATCACCATATTGGGGGTGGCTGACTTTATCATACCAGGCCATGGACCTATGTTTCAGGTGCGTTTTATGTTGTTTTGACTTTCGTTTGACACAGGTCTGCAAACCTTTTATTTTATGTTTACAGTCTTGTCAATTTCCTCTTAAATGATGTGCATTCTTGAAAAGTTTATATTTATATATAAATAAATATATAAATAAATAGGTTTATATTTGATTTTAGTAGTATTTAAGTTTTACTTTAAAAAAATGTTTGAACTTTAAAAAAAAAAGCTACTAGAGAAATAAAAACAAACTGTTTGATAGAAAAGAATTTAATGAAAGAAAAATGAAATGGCCATTTTACTAATTGATTAATTTTTTATATGTTTGTGAATTCATAGCATTTGTGGTTGATATATAGCAAACCTTTTTTTTTTTTTTTTTTTAAACTATTTTTTTTAGGTTGATAAAGGTATGTAAAGGCAACATAACATTACAGTATATTACAGTTTGACCACTCACAATTAATTGGTTTTTAATCCAAAGGGAATATTTGTGACTTATAGAAAATGAGCCCATGGTCAAATGTTCAAACTGAAATGTGCTTCTAAATATTAACAATATGTGATTAATACATAATATTTAGGCACCAATATCCAACATCTAGTCTGATTTGAGCTTATCAGATTTTATTTTGAATTAAGAGACAAACTAAACCAGTGCAAATTTTTTGTTTTTAATTCTGACCCAATCTGTTGTAATTTGTTCCTTCTTTCAGGTCCCAGAAGAATATAAAAGTCAGATGAGGGTGGTCATGCTTATGGAGGAGCACTTCAGCTCTCCTCAGATGACATCATCCACTTCAGAATGTATTATCATTGAAACTGATTAATTGTTTTGTTAATTCAAAGTTTTGGATTCTTGTTGTTGTTTTTTTTTCTTTTTTCTGCAAGTTCCAGATTTGGTGTTGTTTTCTACTAATGTTAACAGTATCAAACAAGCTGCATGACTAGTACATGGCTAGTGACACTGTGAAAAAAACAAAAAATGACATCTTCTTGGATCATCGCTATCCCTTTCATTTTATTTTTTTGTGTCCAGTATTTTTGGTGGTTACGTTTATTTTCAGTTTACTAACACGAAAGAGCTGCTTATTATGATGGTCTTGCCTGTGTCCATAGCTCATTGTGTAACCTTCGGAATTTAGATGTCTGTCCTTGTTTAATAGCTATGCATACAACATGAACCTATAACATGATCATTAAGGTGGCTTTTAAAAATCATGCCATTTGAATTTTGTGATGTTTGTATATCATAGTTTGATAAACCATTTAATCATTTAATTAATTATGGTTTAATTTGAGGCCATAATTTTAATTTAAGAAAGGTGATATGTCATTTAGTATAAAGTATTTTTTTTTTTTTTTTTAATTCTGTTCAAATCAGTGTGAATAATAGAATAGGATATGTATGCCTTTAAATATATTTGTTTAAACATAGGCTTACAAAATAGAGTTAAAAGCTTACTAAGACAAGTTTTTTAAACCACTATGACCTCACAAGTTTGATTCATGTCTTTCTAATTTAAAGTTAGTATGGCGTCATCAGTTTTTGTACAGTAATGTAAAATTTTGTTTCAAATATTTTATGCATTTAAATTGTCATAAAATTAACTTTGTATTCTATAAATGCAGTCGGATATCAGGCCTTGCACTTTGTTTCTGTACATACTGCCAGTATGTAACTGTTTACATTGCTAGTATTTAGGTCAAGATTAGGTCTTTGACCATCTTCCAACCAGTCTTTGATTGCTGGAAGTTTTTTTTAATATATAGCAAAGTCTGTGACACTGGCATATTCCTAGATAGTTCCTCAAGGCTTAATGGTTGAGAATCACTGATGAATGTAAATGGCTGGAATTAGTAGCTTGATTACTTTAAAAATATACACATAATAGATTATTAAGCTTATTCATGTAAACATATTTACACTTAAAATGTCGTTGGATTTTCAGAATATGGTTGTAAAAGTGGATTGTAAGATTTGATTTGTTTTGTTTTTTCTATGCCTTTCTTGTTCTCAACATATTTTTTGCTTAAATCATAATGCTGGCTTTTCTTTTTCCAAATCGAGATGATTTTTTTTTAAAAGTAGAATTTGTCTTAGATTGAAACAAAATGTCTATTCTACAGCTGCATATACTTTGTTTTACCAGTTAACTAAAAAAAAAAAAATTGTGTGTCTCAATGTAGGAGATTTGGCTCCTGTAACATGAAATATTAACTCTGGTGTGAGGTGATAAGCTGCTAAACTTAATGCTACTGGTACATAGTTTTCATACTTTCTCTGGGTCTGAGAACATTTCCCTTCACTTCCTGATGTGTGCCTCAGAACATACATACAAAGTAAGAAAAGGTTTCTTTGACAGCTGTACATTATCGTGCGATCATTGGCTAGACTGGTGAACTGTCATGCTCTGCCTTGTAGGGACTTTGATTGCAGCTTATAATGTGACATGCATATAAACTACTTTTTGTTTAGCATTGAACATTTTTTGTTTTATTGTAATTATTTTTATTGTTATCATTGTTTTGTTTGAAGTTTTTCTTTCTTATCATTACATTGTTCTATTATATATTTTGTTTTGCATTAAGTGAATTGAAATTATTATTTTAACATATAAGATTAAAATATAAGACTGTGATGGATAAGTTACCATGATACAAAAATGTATATAAAATTTGTATGACTATAATCTTATATTTAATTTAGTTTCTTTCACACCAGTTAAGAAAGCTATGTTAAGAGTTATTTGCCTAAGGCAACTTAAAATTAATAATAGGCAAGTAACTTAAGCTACTTACAATTGATAGTTGGCTGTATAAGTAGATAAAGATAATTTTTTTTTATCTTTGTAAATTCCAGAGGCCTAAAAATCATCAGCAGTGATTGTAAGTGACTGCTTTGCTTTTAAATATGCCCCAATTTACCTTCCAGAAGATGTTGTATGCATTTCAAATTTTATTTGTTGAATTTTTTTTTCCTTAAGTCTTTTTATTGTCACATTTACAAGTATATACATATAGATATGTATTTATATATATAGAGAGAGAGCTTCTGTTATAGAGTACTAGTCTAAAGGCTGAATACGTTTCATTTGCTATTTTGTTGCCTTTATAATATTTATGTCTGTGTTGTATGTATATTGACGCTTGTTTCCCCAACACACAGGCAAAGATGTTTCCTCCCCGCAGTAAAGAATGAACCACATGCCCAAACCGGGAGTGTCTCGGAAAGCCGTGTCCTACATGCAAGCACATTGTGATGGTGGAATAACTGGTTAGCCACTGCTACAGTTGATCAGTAACAGCAAAATTGTAATACTATCTGTGTATTTTTTTTTTGTAGTGAAAATCTTACATTTATTTCATTGGCAAAGGTGGGGGGAAAAAATTATCAGCCCAGCCCAGCTATCGTTTTTATCAGACATCATTTTAATATAGCTATTTTGTTTGACTTTAATGGTACATTATCACATTGGATCAAATGCAGCAAATCAGGCTCTGATAAATTTCAAAATTTATATGTGGGGGGGGGTGTGTGAACATGTTATCAATGCTTTAGAACTACACAAATATTGATTGAAATTTTTTTTTTGTAATGCAATTTTTCTTTGTAGAAATTCATTTATTATGATAGTGTAAATATCTGACTGACTGCATTAAGAGACAACTGTAGATTTTAAAAAATGTATAATGTTGTATTGAAAATGTTACAATAAACATTTTGGATTTAATTTTTGTGGTCAAGACAGTAATGTATTTAAAGTGTAAAATGGATAATGATAATTAAAGCATCTTGGCACTTATTAAGTCTTTTGTTGTAGCAACTAATATCCCAAATTTTATTTGTGCTTTGTTCACTCATGACCTTCTCAACGTGTAGATTATCAAATTAATATTTGTTCAGCTCTAATTGCTTTACGTTTTCTTTCAGTGTCATCCACAATCTATCACTTTCTAGTCTCATGCAATCCATGGTATCGCTTCTAGTTTGCTTATTAAATCAGATTTACTTTAAGTGCTACATAACAGAAGTAGCGCGAATTGCTAAGTATCATTGCTCTTTTTAGTTTTTATAAATCTTGTGTAGGAGAGGGGCATTGGGCAATCACTAGGACATGTTATCCTGGTAATAATTATTTAATTATTTCAAATTTAAAAATCAGGATGGTTTGGTTAAAAATTGTCAAAAACTAAACCAATAGTGTTAATTATCTTCTCTTTTGAAGGAATGTTGGTAATTTATAGGATGATTAAGTCATTAATTTGTTAGAATTGTAAAATATGTTGTTTTTTTTTTTTAAAGTTATCAACGACATGTAATGTATTCTTAAGTTAATTATTGTTTTTTTGTTCCTACAATCATTACACAATGTTCTTGTCTTTATTCATCATTCAGAGCTTCCATTGGTTGTACATTAGTTAAAACTAAGTCAATCACTTTTTTTGGGTCTGTCTGTCATTGATACCTTAAACTGTAAAAATAAAATTAATTTCATGATACCGGGGTATATATTGCAACCCCGCCCCTCCCCCATAAGTCATACTGTAAATCTATATTGTTTGTTTATTAACTGCCACTTGGTCATTTTTGTTTTAAGGATTTTTTTATCATTAGTTGTTTTGTTTTTTTATGAATTGTTTAATTGCAAACAATTTGTACAACCAATTTAATGGGACTGATTTAAATAGTTGAAACTATCTGGTGTTTGAAAAAACCAAAGAAGAAAAATCCATTTACTGCCTGATTTAGTGTGGGTCACTAAAAATGAGGTTTGATTTTATTTGAAGTGCCTTACAATTTTGAACCTGGGAACCAAAGAAATTTCTGAAGTGTCACTGGCCTTATTCCCCTCAAAAATGGTTGCATCAAGTGAAAAATATCGTCTACATCTACCATTATGCAAAATGTCGTATTTCAGGGGGCCTGATAGCAACTTGCCACTGGCTGAAATGTTTGGGTATCAAAGGTTTATGTTAGTCCATGTCAAACAAAATGTTCATGATTGGCCAAAATAAAAATGCTTGAATACAAACTGCATGTCTTTCTATCCTGTCATTTTATTGATCCAATTTTAAAACAAAGAAATGTATTGAAAAAAAAAAAAAGCACTGCCTTACAGTTGATATTTACAAGACTGGTCACTTAATATCATTAAGACTTCCACTGTTTTCATCTTCATTATCCCAACTTTAACAAATATATTTTTTTTTTCCTCATGCAATACTTGTCAGTATTTCTAAAATACAGATTTTATTTTTAAAACTCATTCAAGGCACAACTTGTGGAGGTGTCAGGTTGTAACCAGAGAGTCAAAAAAAAAAAAAAAAAAAAAAGTCTGAGGACTTGTTACCATGTCTTATAATGAAACATTAAAATTCAGCTTTTGTTTGATTACATGCTTGCCATCTCATCAGAGCTGTGTTTGGCTTCACCATTGATGTTATCATCCTACTAACCTATAGACATTGTGCTTTCAATTGTCTTTTAAGTTTAATCAGTTCAATATTCATGTCAATTGATCCAATAAATTTTGTATTTGCATTGAAATAAAAGTTGTGTTTGGGTTTTCTGATGACTGAAATTTTCATAAACAAATCTTTTTTACTGTCATTTATATTTGGGGGGTGCGGTGGCTGATGGGTAAAGCACTTGGCTTCTGAACTGATGAGTCCACGGGTCGAATCTCAGTGATGACTGGGATTTTTTGTTTTGGGATCATTAGGGCGCCTCCCCTTTCAAACCCTAAATTTCTCGCATGTTGCTCCAAGTGCTATGCCTTGGAAAACCACTTCAGCTTGCGGACGAAAGGAGGTGAGGTGGCCGATCGGTAAAGCGCTTGGCTTCCAAACCGGGGGTCCCAGGTTCAAATCCTGGTGAAGACTGGGATTTTTACTTTTGGGATCTTAGGGCGCCTCCGAGTCCACCCAGCTCTAACGGTTACCTGACATAAGTTTGGGAAAAAGTAAAGGCAGTTGGTGGTTGTGCTAGCCACATGACATTCTCGTTAACCGTGGGCCACAAAATCTTACAACATGTCTTTCATCTTCATGTCTTTAGATAATGATCTAATAACAATATGATTTAACGTTTGAAACCGTCAATTATGATGTATGCAACCATGATGACACAATTAACTAACCAGGAAAAAAAATACGTGTACATTATTATTCTCTGTATCTTTACATGTGAAATTTACATCAGAAAGTTGGATTTGCTCTCCGACTTAATTACCAAAGGAACAAAAAGAGTTACTGTGTCTGCTTGCTTTTGTGATCTGTGTTTTGTATTTTTCATTTGACAGTAAAATGTTAATATCCTGAATAGAAACGGTGTACTGTTCTTTCACTGACAAAAGTCTCATGAGCTAAGACAAAGGCAATTTTGTAGGAGGCATTGCTGGCGTACTGTTTTTTTGTTGTTTTTTTTTCATTTTTTTTTGGGGGGGGGGTGCCACTGCTAAACAAACACTGCCCAAGGCTTTAGCCTCGCAAAATATAGGGAGTTCGAAACCAGAGTATTTGTCTTCTAGAAGAATTACCTTACTGCAGAGCTGCTTATATCTGAAGCTCACAGTTCTAGATAGACCCATTAACGGCCTTGACCTTTTCACGGGTCAAGCAAGCCAAGTCCGCATGGACCTACCTAGCAGTGACGCCGTTTGATACGCGCACATTTTATGAATTAATTTTATTTGCTCCAGATGTTATCCATCCCTGGCTATAAAAAACTGAAACTGTGGAATTTCTAAATAAGATAAGATAATTTTATTGATCCAATGAAATGGAAATTCAGTTTTGATTTCAATTGGCAACGTCAGCGTAACTACTGTACAATAACAGTATAGATTAAAGATTGGAACAACATTCACACATGAAACACATACACATTTACAACCAGCGCTTTATGAATTTGACTTCTTTGTACTTCTCGATGACGACAGCTGATCTTGTAACACTCTGACCGAAAGTGGGATAAAGGAGTTTTTAAATATCAATTTTTACATCTTTGTCAGCTTAGGCCTAGTCTTTCTTCATGTTCCATTCAATTCACGATGTTTTCTAGGCTAACATCTTGAAGCTCATTACTCGAGCCTTTATTAAGACTCACATCTCACTGGTAATGTACCTGTTAGGTATACCTACGAATCTTAAGACTAACTAGAAAATTCCACAAAAACCTACAACAAGGTTGGGCGAGAAATGTCCTCTGGACTAAAACTGGAAGAAAATCGAAAGAATACAGATCAATCAAGAATTGTTAAAGTTACGACCCTAAAATTGTTGCATTTATTATAGTGCCCAGTAGAGAGGCTTCAGAAATGCAGAACATTTTAATCATTTAAACAATCAATTATTTTTAGTCCAGATTGATTTGATTAAATTGATGTTCATCTTCACTATTTTACAGCTTAGTTCATTTAAGTTTAAAACTCTCATTGGTTCACTATTTACCTTTACAAGTTCACTGCTTTAATCTCTTAAATGACAAACAATGTTTTAAGAGTGTCTCTTTTTTTTCTCCCAATGTCCTTCCCCCCCCCCCCCCTTCCATATCTTTCTTATACGCAGAAACGCACATGAAAAGGATTTCAGGAATAACATTATTGATTATTTGATTATCTCAAAATGACTGGTTGTAGGATGTGTGGCAAAGTATCGAAAATCGCCTGGCAACCTATCAAGGGGACCCGAGTTCCAATCCCGACTCAAATCTCAAGTAGTGTTGTGTTTGATGAGCACCTAGAGGCAGCACGGACACCTTCTCTCAGATACCCCCCTGGAACCAATGGTACTCAAAAGTGATTAGACCAAAGCGCACTGAACATGCTATTAGCATGAAATTCGAACTACACAAAGGCAATTAAAAAAAATGACATTATGTCACATGTTTAATGAACTAGCCCATTCCCGTAAACGTTTAATTTCCTCCCCTTCTTCAAGGATTCACTTCACACTAGAACAAGAAACTCTTGTATAGTGCCAGTGAACACATTCACTTCCAGTAACTCTCTACACTTCTGCTAACACGATTTCTTGCCCAGAGCTTCTATCGTTTCAGCGCCGTGCTCCTCATTAGCATATCCAAGTCTCTACCTTTAAAATAACGTTGTAGTTTTTTTACTTTTTTTTTTGCTTCTTTCCGAAAACTTTTACTCACCTTCTTCCTCTTTTCTATCCCTCCTACCCATGCCCCTCTCTCCTCCCACATATCTCTCTACTCATCTAGATCTACCTGATGTGTAGTTTAGGAACTTTTTTTTTCTTCAGTGGTTTCCCTTTGAAAATTCCTTCTCGTTTTAGAAAGTCACGTGCTAAATCAACACACGAAGAAAAAAAAAGATGAGTTCAGGGATGCAAAAAAAAAAGGGGGGGGGGGGAGAGAGTTGTAGGCAATCTGTACTTTACTGTAAACCCTTAAACTTGAAATTTCAAATTCAATCTATAACACATGCAGCTTGGTTAGAGCATTAAGGCAGCACGAAAACCTTGGAGAAATCCCTTCCTCATATGTCCACCAAAGAAATTGGATCAAAGCACGCTAAGCATGCTGGGAGTAGCCGGGAAAGGCGCTATTAAATAATATGCAAACGGTAAAATCTGAAACGGAAATGAAAAAGGAACAATATATAACAAGGTTACAAAGAACACAAACTGAAAATCGGCCACCGAGGTGGTCCACCCAGGCAGGTAAAAAGGCAGGTTTCGATATTATCAGAATGAAAGTCTATCAAAGACAAATGACAGAAAATAATGGAGAAAAAAAAAGGTTAACAGATCTTGTGTGGTGCCCCAGCGGTCCAGCAGACCAAAGGATAGATGAAAGTGAATGTGAAGTTAGATGTGAACCTGGCCTAACTGATGTCATATAATGAATATCTAATTGATCTAATTGTTTTGTAAAGGGCCAATCTTTTATTCCTCAAGAATAAAACATTTCCGTTAAATAGATTTTTTTTAAATAAAAAAAAAATATTTTTTTCCTTTGGCTAGATGTTGTATGGTAATTTCGGCACTATAGTTCACGCAATAATATGAAAAACTACTTATTAATTGTTGTTTTAAATTATCTCACACTTATATGCATACTAATTAGATTTTTTCTCTTTAAAAGATAATAAACATTTTTTGTTTGTAAATATAGTACTTTGTATAACATAACTTACACAAATTAACAATACTAATTTTTTTAAAAATTTGACAAAAAATCTACAACCGTTTGTGTTTAATATACGGTTGAGAGATAATAATTAACCTCAAGTGTTTGTTACTATTAATAGTGAATAGTTGTAAAAGTGGTGTATTTTTATGAACAAAAATGCCTGTATAAGTGATTTAAAAAATTAGATCTTTCGCTTTCAGAAAAGAAAAAAGTAGCCGTTGCATCAGAACTTTGAATGGTCTAAAATATTAGGATGTCGGATTTTCACTATCTCTTCTAGTTTACGAGATTTCAACGGGACGGACAGATAGGCCACACAAAACTAATGGCGTCTTTTCCCCTTTCGGGGGCGCTAAAAATCTACGCAACTAAGCAACCATGGTAACAATTAAAGTAAAGGAACTCCTTTCAGATCTACGAGAGCAGTTTATGTACAGCTAGCCTGTTTCTATGTCCGACGGTTTACGAAGGTGCCATGTGGCCAGCACAACGCTTTTATGCCAGGTACCTCTTGGAGTTGGTTGAGCTCAGGGGCGTGCTAATGATCTCGAAGCTCAAAATCCCATTCTTCACGGGGATTTGAACTAGAGACCCCAGTTCAGATATAAAAATAAAGTTGCCCTTTTAGACCTTGCGATTTTCCGTAAAAACTATATCTCTCATCTATGGTATTTATTCTTTAATTTTAAATACTTTTATCTATAATAAAATAAGTAATCATTAAGATCTTTTTAGAAACTTTTATAAGGAAAGTCCGGAATGATTCTAATCCTGTCTGATCATGTTCTCTATTTATTTAGGCTACATTGAATTTATTTATATTTTGCAGCAGAAAGCAGCGATGTCATCATGATCTCTATTAAACTCACCGTCCTAAAAATGTTTTTAAAGAAGCCAACAAAAATAATGTTTACCGTAAAATGAGCACGCGTTGGAGCAACTTCTGAGCGTATTCCTTTTACAGCAGTGAACAAGCACTTTCAAGGGAATTCACTCTGAAATTTTCTTTTTAAGAGTTAAAAAAAAATTGAAGACATCGATATTTTTTTCGAGTCCTTACATTGCTCGATACCACTAGTAATACTAGTAATAGACGTTCTCGTACTCAAATTTTGTATTCGTAGCATTATCGCCAACTTTCTGTGTAACGATAAACCATCTTTTAGACAATACATTTATTTCAAATGTAAATTGTATGTACCTTATGAAATACAGACGTTACTTCAAAATAGAAGATGTTTACATCATACGCTTTTTTCTAGGTCAATCTAGTCATGCATATTTTTATTATCCCTCGTTTATTATTATCCTGCCCCCCTCCCCCCCCCCCCCATCCTTTCGTAACATTCACGAACAAGTAGGATAAAGACCAGCTTAGGCACCTGGTTGCATGC